AGTTTCTTTTGGTGCATAAGTGTAGGACCCAAGCCCTTCCAATGCATTTATCAATTCCATGTATCCTTCCATATCTTCACCATCAAAGTTTACCAAAATAGCCGGCAATGACTCACCAAGGCATTCCTCTTACATCTTCACCTCGACTGCATCCTCTACCTCATCAACAACCTCAATGACTAATATACTTTCGTATGTATGTGGCAATTTCATGCCTTCACTAGCTTGAAAAATAACCTCTTCGTCATTAACTCGAAACTTGATCTCATCATTTCGAATCCATGAGTGCTTTTCCGGTAGCAAGGAATGGTCTCCCCAAGATGATAGAGATTTCTTTATCAACAGCACAGTCGAGGATAAATAAGTCGGCAGGGAGAAGTAATTTCCCCACTTTCATAAGAACATCATCAACAATTATCGTCGATCTTTTAAACGGTCAGCCATTTGCAACCTCATACTTGTGGGCCTAGGCATACCTAATCCCACTTGCTTGTAAATAGCAAGAGGTATGAAGTTGATGTTAGCCCCATTATTACAAAGGGCTTGTGCAAAGTCGAGCAACCTAATGGTGCATGGAATGGTGAAGGCCCCCGGATCCTCTTTCTTTTAGAAGGTGGTTGTTGCAATGATGGAACTAACTCGGTGAGTCATTCACCACTTCATTCCTGGTGGTTTTCTTTTTAGTGATCAAGTCTTTCAAATACTTAGCAAAACCCGATATCTCTTGAAATGCTTCCACAAATGGAATATTCATCGATAATTGCTTGAGAATGTCATAGAACTTCTCGAGTTTGCTATCATCAACCTTCCTAGTAAGTTTTTGAGGAAAAGGAGGAGGAGGACTAGGAATTGGTGCTAGAGTTTTTGGTGTCTCTTTCACCTTTTCCTTAACCTCTTCCCGGTTCACCTCTTGAATTTTTACCTCCTTTGGGAATTTTTCAGCTTCAACAACAATTAGCACCTCAACTTGTGCCTCAACTTCTTGTTCAGAATCTTCCACTTCAACCACTTGTTCATTCTCTCCTTGAAGTAGTTTCCCACTTCGAGTTGGACCACTCCCACTACCTTTTGGGTTCACTATTGTATCACTTGGGAGTGTGCCCTTTTGCTTCGGATTTTGTTCTCTTGATAGATCTCGCATTTGCAATTCTAACTTTTGTATGGATGTGTGAGAACCCAAAAGCTCGGTCATATTCTTCATTGAAGTGTCAGGTCTTTCTTGATTTTGCAATACTCGTTCAAGCATATTTTCTAACTTGGAATCACTTGAAGAACTTTCCTTCCAATGCGGAGACTTAGAATATTTCCCCTTTGGTGGAACATAGGGGTTTGAACTCCGATTTGAAAAGTTGCTATTGTTGTTACTCCAATTCCCTTGATTTGAACTACCTTGGTCATTTCGCCACTGTTGGTTTCCTTGCCCTTGCGGGTTAGACCTCCATTGGTTTTGTTGTCCGGAACCTTGGTATGGTTGCCTTTGATAACCTCCTTGAGAGTTGTTGACATAATTTGCTTCTTCGTAGTCCTCATTTGACATGGGTTGCACATCTTCCACCACGTTCACCTTTTTTGTTTGGCTTTCAGTGAACATCTTCGTCAACACAATGATGTTGGTGGCAAGCCCGACAATTACTTGGTCTCTTTCTTGGTTCTCCTTAATCATGTTGGTCAAGGAAGGAGTGCCATATGCAATTCCACCCATGATGTCCTCTGAGTGCCGAGCTTGGTTATGTTTTGCCATTTTGTCAAGAATTTGTGTGACCCTTGCAAATGATTTATCCATAAAAGATCCATCAGCTGCATTTTTGGCTATGAATTGATTCATAGGATCCAAGCCCATGTAAAATTTCTCCAATAAGATAGTATCCGAAAAACCATGATTAGGCGACTCACTAAATATAGCTGGAATCGATCCCATGCCTCATGTAGATGCTGTCCCGGTAATTGCTTGAAAAAGAAAATTTTATCCCGGAGCTTAGACTTCTTGCTCTACGGAAACCATTTTGCGAGGAAAGCTCCGACAAGCTTGGGCCAAGTATGAATGGAATTAGGCAATAGATTTTGGATCCATTGTCTTGCCTCTCCAGTTAGAGAGTACTTGAACACCCTCAACCTTAAGGAATCATCTGAAACGTGATTCTGCTTGTGCATCGCACACACACCCAAGAAATTTCTGAGATGTTGTGTTGGATCATCATCTGTGGAATTTCGGAAAAACCCCTCTACCATGAGCATTAGGATTAGACTGTGTTCTACCTTGAAGGTAGCAGCATCAACTCTTGGAGGGACAATGGCATTTGTATCCTCAATATACTCATCTATATCCACAAAAATATTCTATTGTTCCTGCTCGTCCATGTTTACCTGGTGACACCAAGCAAAGCAAGCAAGGTGTGATGGAACAGAAGAAGACGTAAAGTAAAGCACACACTAATTAGTAATTCCAAAACCGTATTCCCCAGCAACTGCGCCAAAATTTGATACGCTTAAATTACACTTAAATAAATAGTGTAAGGCGGTCGGTGTCAAATATAATAACCCAACAAGGTTGGGGTCGAATCCTATAGGGAATAGATGTAAAAAGGTTACTTGAATAGTGTGAAACTTGACTTAAGTCGTAATTCTACTCCTTTAGTTTAAAAAGAGAATGATGTAATTATGAATTAACAAGATAACTATTTTGTTGTGACAATGTAATTAATTTGACTAAGAAAACCAAGGTTGTGTCCCCATCAATGGAATGTAATGCTATCGGTGTTAATATGATATATTTCTAATGGAAGGTCCTTTGATATGCAAATGATTTCTAAGTGACTATCCAATATTTTCCAATAGTTGGGTAGTATTTTCTCTTTATGATTTTCCAAAATATTAAAGAGTTGCAATTAAGAATAACCAATTTATGCCAAGTAGAACTCACTTATTCCTAAGTAATTCTATTAAACAAGGTTTAAAGCCTTGAGTTTTTTATATTCAATTCTACCAAACCCTAACCCACTTTTCCAAGTAAAGATAGAGTAAAATGGAATTAGTCAATGTTTGCAACCACCAACAATAAATGAAGCATAAGAAATGGATAAATATCAACCAACCATTATATATATATTTAATGGTAAACACCCATTAACATTACATCCATTTAGGGTCCACAACCTTAGTATTTAAAACTAGCTACTCATACTAGAATCCAAGAACAAAGCAATAAATAAAGTCATAAAGCTTACAAAGATACAAGATTCTCTCTTTAAAAGCTTCCAAAATAATGGTGTATTCAATGCCTTCAATGTAGCCTCTTTTTCAGACAAGATGACCCACAAAACCCTAGTAAATCTATTTATAATGGGCCAAAAGTCGAGGGTCAAATTTTGACAAAAATGCCCATGCAGAACACATCTGTGACCGCAGAATGGATCACAGATCATGTATGCTGTCCGTAGAAATGCAAAGTCGCCGCATAATTGCACGCCCAGTTGCCCAATTCCCCATCGCAGATCCATTATGCGGTCCGCATATTGCTTATGCGACCGCAGGCTGCGTCGCAAAAGTACTCTCGCAGAATCTCCTTTTGCACTTATGTGGTCCGCAGAAGCGTTATGCGACCGCATAATAGACCGCATATTCCTCTCTTCAAGAGTTGGAACAACTGCTTCAGTATGCGGTTGGTTTGTAGCACGCATATCACTTTTGCGGTCGCAGACCTGCCGCATTTCTGCCCTTCTATGTTTTTTTTGTCTTCTTTTCCGTGTTCTTGGTTCTTCAAGTCTCGTACACTGCAAAACACCATAATTTCATAAGAAATAATTAAAAATGCTTTAAAAGACGAGCTAAAATCTATGTAATTAGTATCAAACGTGCCGAAATTCTACGGCACATCAGGCACTTACTGTTATAGGGTCATGCCATTTGGTTCGAAAAATGCCGGGGCAACCTATATAAGAGCTATGATTGCCATCTTCCATGACATGATGCATCAGGAAATTGAGGTATATGTAGATGATGCGATCATCAAATCCAGAACGCAAGAAGACCATGTGCAAAATCTAAGGAAGTTCTTTGAGCGTTTGCGCAGGTACGACTTGAAATTAAACCAAGCTAAATGTGCATTCGGAGTTCCATCTAGGAAACTCCTGGGGTTTATAGTCAGTCGGAGGGGTATCGAATTATATTCGACAAAGATAAAGTCTATTCGAGACTTGCCACCTCTGAAGAGCAACAAAGAGGTTGTGAGTCTGCTAGGGAGACTAAATTACATCAGCAGATTCATCACTCAGCTTACTACCACTTGTGTGCTCATATTCAAGCTGTTGAAGAAAGACGCGGCAATCAAATGGACAGATGATTGTCAAGAAGCTTTTGATAAAATCGAAGATTATCTGTCAAATCCACGGGTGATGGTTCCACCCAAGCCAGGAATGTAACCGGGAAGAGATAACAAACCATATATTATCTGAGCAAGAAGTTCACCAGTTATGAAGCCAAGTACACTTTGTTGGAAAGAACTTGTTGTGCCCTAACTTGGGTCGCCCAAAAGCTGAGACATTACTTGCTAGCTTACACAACATATCTCATAACTAGAATGGATCCTTTAAAGTATATATTCCAGAAGCCACTGAAGGTTAGCAAAATGGCAGATCCTGCTGACCGAGTTTGACATCATCTATGTCACTCGCACGACGATGAAAGCTCAAGCCTTGGCGTATCACCTAGTTGAGAACCCGGTCGATGATGAATACCAACCATTAAGCACTTGTTTTCCAGATGAGGAAGTGAACTTAGTTGAAGTGATTCTACAGAACATCAATGCATGGAAAATGTTCTTTGATAGGGCCGTAAATGCAAAAGGCGTAGGGATTGGGGCAATTCTGATTTCGCCCACAGGTCAACATTATCCGGCCACAGCTCGTCTTTAGTTCTTCTATACAAACAACACCGCCGAGTATGAAGCCTGCATCATGGTGCATGAATATGGCGGTTGATCTAAATGTACATTAGTATTGATAATGGGGGATTCTGATTTAATCATTCGGCAAGCCCAAGGTGAAAAGGGAACTCGAGACATCAAACTCATCCCATACATGCAACATGTGGAAGACCTCAGTAAACGGTTTAAGTCCATTGAGTTCAAGTATATTCCCCGATTCCACAATGAGCTAGCAGATGCACTAGCTACTTTTGCCTCAATGCTGCCATACCCGAGTAATGTTCATATTGGCCCGCTGGAAATTGAGGTTCGAGAAAGGCACAGTTATTGTAATGCGATTGAAATAGAGCCATATGTTGAGCCATGGTATCATGATATCAAACGGTTCTTAAAAACAAGAGAATATCCCGAGTAGGCCAGTGGAGATCAAAAGAGAACTATCATAAGGCTTGCAAACAGTGTCTTTTTTAGTGGAGATCTTTTACAAAAGAATTCAAGATCTGAATCTTTTGAAGTGTGTAGATTCTCGAGAAGCTAAAAGGATCATGAACGAAGTGCATTCAGAGTATGTGGTCCTCACATGAACGGGTATGTCTTGCAAAGAAAATCCTCCGGGCAGGTTATTACTGGATGATCATGGAAAAAGATTATTTCAGTTTGGTCCAAAAATGCCATTAGTGTCAGATACACGGTGACCTGATTCATGCACCGTCTTCATAGTTACACCCTATGTCAGTGCCTTTGGTCGTACGTTGCCTGGGGCATGTATGTTATTGGGCAAATCAAGCCGATAGCTTCTAATGGGCACATATTCATCTTGGTTGCCATTGATTATTTCACAAAGATGGTCAAAGCATTTACTTTCGAATCCGTCACTAAGAAAGCAGTGGTGGACTTCGTGCATTCCAACATTATCTGTCATTTTGGTATTCCTAAAACTATCATTACGGACAATGCTGCAAACTTGAACAGCCACTTGATGAGGGAGATATGTGAACAATTTAAAATTATTCATCGTAATTCTACCCCCTATCAGCCCAAAGCTAATGGCACCGTAGAAGATGCAAAAAAGAACATTAAAAAGATTCTCAGGAAAATGGTTCAGGGTTCAAGACAGTGGCACAAAAAGTTGCCTTTTGCACTATTGGGATATCGCAGTACCGTGCGCACATCAGTTGGGGCCACTCCTTACTTATTGGTTTATGGAACTGAAGCCGTAATACCTGCAGATATTGAGATCCCCTCTCTTTGGATCATTGTTGAAGCCGGATCGAGGATGATGAATGGGTCAAAACCCGTTTGGAACAATTAACTATGATTGACGAAAAGCGAATGGACGTAGTTTGCCACGGGCATTTGTACCAATAAAGAATGGCCCGTGCGTACAACAAGAAAGTGCGGCCCAGAAAATTCAAAGTGGGACAACTCGTTCTGAGACGTATTCTCCCGCATTTTGAAGAAGCCAAAGGAAAATTTGCTCCAGAGTGGAAAGGTCCATACATTGTAACAAGAGTGCTGCCAAATGGAGCACTTTATTTGGGAGACATCGAAGGAAATGTCCTCGAGACAGCTGTCAATGTAGACGCGCTCAAAAGGTACTATGTTTGACCCCTTTTCAAAGCTTTAACATGCTCTGATTGGGATGATGAAGGTCTTCTTTCTCGCTACCCAAACACTATCAACCCTTTGCAAACCCTTTGAGCTGGTTCCCTTTTCTTGATTATCCTTTTTGGAACCTGGAAGTTATTATTTTTATAAAAGAAAAAAAATGAAAATGAAAAAAGAAGAAGAAGAAAACAAAAGAAAATCAAAAAACAAAGTTAATTGAACTACGTTCGACTTGATTCCAAAATGATACGTAGGCAGCCTATCTCTGGGTTAAGGCACATCAAAACAAAAATCTACATTCCCCCAAAAGCGAAAATTAGGGCAGATGTTACAATGGTTCGGCAATGGTTTCGCCTGAAAGGTTCCAAAGTTGTAATTCAATCCAAATTCTTTTTACCCAAATCCTTTCCAAGTCCTTCCGATTAATCGGAAGGAATTTTCAAAATTAGAGGATATAGTTACTTGGATTTGATGCAACCAAAATGAGAGAAATAAAATGAGAGAGTCTTATTGGTGAAAACCCTCACGGGCACCGTAAGGCGATGGGGAATAAAGAAACTAAAATGAGAGAGTCTTGTAACTGAAAACTCGCAAAGAGCACTATAAGGAGATGGTAAGAAGAGAAATGAGAGAGGTCAGCTGGTGAAAACCTGCAAAGGGCGTCACTGAATGAAAAGTGGATCCTTACAGCCATTGGCATCAACACAGTCTTGGGCAAGGTTTCTCGGTTTCGAGGTGAAAGTTGTGATGAACTTCTGAGAGTCGGACGATTAACACAGATCAGGCATCCAGTCCAAAAGGCATGTCATGTTCATTGAAGTCTGTATGTACTCCAAATAAGTCCTTCTTTTCTTTCCCCGGGAGGGTACCCTTTTGTTTAAACTCATTCTCCATTCCATTGCTTGTTTTTCTTTGAATCCCTCTCTGTCTAACTTCATTCCAAAAACTAAGACAAAGAAGAGATGACAAGACTGATTTACAGGGCTTTCGTTTGCCACAAGCTGATATTCAAGAGGCACGCGACCTCGGCAGGAGGATCTAGTCAACCCTGATTGGCCATGGTGGCTGATGCTTCGAAATCAAAAACCTCGAAAGAAGGAAATCAAATTGAAAAGCCTACAAGGGCGAAATGAAGTTGAAAAGGTTGAGTCCCACGTGACTAACCGTCTTGGCAAGGTTTGGTAAGCCAAGGATTCCCCAATGCTCTGAAATTGAAATTGGAAGAAAGAAGTCAGAAGTGAAAGTCTTACAAAGGAAAAATAAAGTCGAAAAAGGTTAAGTCCCACGGGACCAACCTTCATGGCAAAGTTTGGAAAAGCCAAAGGTTCTCCGTGGCCAGAAGTGCAATCGGTATGCAGGAAACAACCAGTCGTAGTTGAAATTATCATCAAAGAAGTCGGTCGAGATTAAGTGACTAAAACACTCAAGGCCACAAAACCAACCACCGTTTTAAACTAACAATAGTTCTTTGTTTGAAAAATAGGAAACAAGTGCAATCCAAAAGCAACCTTGCAAGAAGCAGGTACAACCAAAAAAAGAAACTGCGGGGGGCTAGAAATAGATCTACAGCAGCAGCAACAACAACTCCAAAATGGGAGTCTTCTCCAAGTTCTTTCCTGCATTTTACTCATTCTCTAAATAAAAAAATAAAAAAAGAAGTTCAAAATCATGGTAGTATAGGGTACACCAATCCCTAGCTGCATTTTCCAACATAGGGTACACCACTCCTTAGTTGATGTTATTTTATATATAGGGCCACCACTCTCTAGTCTCCTTACCCGTATAGGGTACACCAATCCCTAGTTGTGTTTTCCAACATAGGATCACCACTCCCTAGTCGATGATATTTTAGACATAGGGTCACTACTCCCTAGTCTCCTTACGAGTATAGGGTACACCAATCCCTAGCCGTATTTTCCAACATAGGGTACACCACTCCCTAGTTGATATTATTTTAGAATAGGGTCACCACTCCCTAGACTCCTTACCAGTATAGGTACACCAATCCCTAGCTGTGTTTTCCAACATAGGGTCATCACTCCCTAGTTGATGATATTTTAGACATAGAGTCACCACTCCCTAGTCTCCTTACCAGTATAGGGTACACCAATCCCTAGTTGTGTTTTCCAACATAGGGTCACAACTCCCTTGTTGATGATATTTTAGACATAGGGTCACCACTCCCTAGTCTCCTTAGCAGTATAGGGTACACCAATCCCTAGCTGTGTTATCCAACATAGAGTCACCTCTCCCTAGTTGATATTATTTTAGACATTGGGTCACCACTCCCTAGTCTTCCTACCAGTATAGGGTACACCAATCCCTAACTGTGTTTTCCAAAATAGGGTACACCACTCCCTAGTTGATGATATTTTAGACATAGGGTACACCACTCCCTAGTTGATGTTATTTTAGACATAGGATCACTACTCCCTAGTCACCTTACCAGTATAGGGTACATCAATCCCTAGTTGTGTTTTGCAACATAGGTACACCACTCCCTAGTTGACTGAGCTTAAAGGCAGAGTACACCACTCCATGATATCCTTTCCAGTATAGGGTACATCAATCCCTAGCTGTATTTTCCAATTTAGAGTACACCAATCCCTAGTTGACCTGATCTTAAATGCAGGATACACCACTCCCTGATATCATTGTTTATATAGGGTACACCATTCCCTCATCGCATTTCCCCAACATAAGGTACACCAATCCTTTGTTGAGACAACATTTAGACAATCAGGGTACACTATTCCCAAAGAATCATGTTTCCCCATGGTACACCAATCCCGACCTTTTATTGCTTCCAATAATAAAGTAGTATAGAGTTTTGTTACAAATAACTCACGAAATTTTCCAAGTGAAAATTGGGGAAGAAAATTTTTGTTCGTTTGTTTGTTTTGGTGTTTGATCAGGTTTTACCTCGAGGCACGGGTTCGAAATGACCAAAAGAAGAAGTCTCAATCCAAAATAGAGAAAAGAAAAGAAAAAGAAGTGAATCCAAAATGCAGAAGCGGATGAAAGGATGTGGACTGCTCAAGACATGACTATAGTCACGAGCATTGCATTTCCCGTTTTGATCAGAAAAAGCCGTAGAAGAATGGACTAGCACCTGCAGCTAGCAAGCATCAAGGTTCAGACCAGAGTCGGCGTGAAGAACCAGTCAAGACTCAAGATCAAGTTTCAGAAGACTTATAAATAGGAATTTTGTAACTCATAGCTGATAAGCTTATTTAGTTTCTTTTGATTTTGATTTTTGTGTAATAAGGTGTTCAGCAAGTAGTAACAGCAGCAACATTAGTGAAATCACAGCTTTTTGGTAGTCTCAGCTACCAAAACTTTCAGAATTACACTGACCTGATTCCTTTATAGCTAAGATAGTAGGCAACCTCTGAAGCAAGGTTCGATCAAAACTTTTCAAAATGCTTCTCACGGAGGATCAAATGGGCAAAAATTGCTCATGATTGCTCACTTTATCTTTGCCCGGAAACTCCTCAAGTTCTCAAGCAAATAGGGGCATATGTGAGCACGTAATTTTTCCCATGCCTAAAATACTCCTAATAATACTCTAAAATAGTTTTAATTGCCTTTATGAAATTTTAGGAATTTTCTTTATTTTATTTTTATTTGGTTTGGCATTTATTTGCAATTTTTGCATATTTAGTAGCATTTCAAATCATGAATATAACGAAAAATATTTTATATTTTACTCTTTGCATTTTAGATCTAATTGCATTTTAGTTGCATTCTTAAAACACCAAAATCACAAAAAATTAATACTACATTAGTCATTTTCGTTGCATGTTGAAATTAATTAGATTAAATGGATTCACAATTTTAATTAGTTGGTAAGTGGATTAGTAATGCAAAATAGGAGTAATTAGGAGTTCAATTAAGGTGGCTAAATTTGAAAAAGGAAATAAAAGAGAAAAAGGGGCTGCGATTTTCAGGCCCAATTTCAATACATTACCCGCCCAGTCCCCTCAAATGCCCGGTCCAACAAGCTTCCCCCACCAGGCCTCTCAAAATGACGTAGTATCACCCCAATACTATGTAGTTTCCTCCTCCCCACTCACTTAAATGACCAAAGCCTCCCATTTGTCTCACAATCCAAACATCACTCTCATTAATCAAACCTAGCCGCCTCTAATTCCAAATTCTCTCAAAGATCAGCCGAATTCCGCCACCTACCACCCTTCCTCCGCTGACCAGAAACCGCTTTCCGGGGGCGTACCACCACCAAACAACTTCAAAACATCACCTTATGATCTCCTCCTCATCCTCATTCCCAATATACCCTCCATTCCCCAAAAATATGCTCCAATTTTGTCAATTAGAAGATCTTAGATTAAAGGTTCAACCTTTTTTCGCCCTTTCTTCAAATTACCTCAACTCGGCGGCATTTCTACGCAAATCTTACACCAAATGATTCTGTGAGAGACCTGTCGTTTGGTGTCATTTTTCGTTTCAATTCTGTTGGCCGGAACACCATTGACCGTCGTTGACCAGCCAGATTTTATCACAACTTTATTTTCTCTCCTCCATTTCGGCTTGTAATGTGCATTGTTACATGTAGCACTGTATCGCATAAAATTTGCCGGCCAGTGCTCATGTGACGATCCCCGTTGCTCGCCGGAGATCACCTCGTCGTCCCTGTTTGGTTTCAGTAGGTAAATCTTTGTGCCTCATCTTACTTGCAATTGTTGTCATTTGAGTTTTGTTTGTGCCATGTCTGTTGGCCGTAATTCTGTGAGTTTTAATTTTCCATTAATTATTAGTTAACTAAGCTCGCATATCATTCTTGGGTGTTAATTGTCGAATAGTAATTCCACTTAATTGAATCTTTGTTTTGCTTTGTTTTATTGAGTCTGTGGTTAGTCAAGATGGGTTCTAAATTTGATTAATCATTTAGGGGTATTAGTTCTGCGAGTTTACGTTTAGATTAGTTGGTAATTAATATTTAATGGCAGAGCAGGGATTGTTTGAGACTTTGGTTTAATATTACATACTTTTGATACGATCATTTTTGTTCCAAATTATTCATTAAGTTGGGATTTGGGTTGATTAAAATAATTTGGTTGATCAATAAAGGAAGCAGGTTGTGGGACTAAGCCCATGTCCATACGGCCAATTTTGATTTAATTCAGAACCAACCCCTTTGTAACGACCCGACCAGTCGTTTTGAGCTCTAGCACTCCGTTCAGCAGCCTGAGGCCGTGGGCAGCTTCATTTCAGGTATTATGACATGTGCGCGTGGTCGGAATTGAATTTTGGGACGTCCAGAGTTGAATTGGCAGGAGAATTCTCATTTCGGAAGCTTAAAGTTGAAAGAATGAACTAGAATTGGATTTTTGAGTAGACGACCTCGGAATTGGGATCTGAAGGTTCCAGCAGGTTCGTATGATGATTTCGGACTTGGGCGTATGCCCGGTTCGGGTGTCGGATAACCCGGGACCATTTTGGCGCCTATTGTGGAAGTTAGCATTTTTAAAGAAATTTCTTAAGTTTGGCTTGAAGTGCATTTCAGTGTTATCGATGTCCGTTTGGGATTCCGAATCTTGGAGCAGCTCCGTATGGTGATTCTGGAGTTGGGAGCGCGATCAGAAGTGAATTCGGAGGTCCGTGGCTCATTTTGGAGTCATTTGGCTAAAGATAGAAATTTGAAAGTTTATGGGAAGTTTGACCGAGAGTTGACCTTTTGATATCGGGGTCGGATTCCGATTCCGGAAGTTAGAGTAGGTCCGTAATGACGAATATGACTTGTGTGCATAATTTGAGGTCAATCGGACTTGAGTTGATAGGTTTAAGCATCGAAAGTAGAAGTTGGAAGTTCTAAAGTTCATGAAGCTTGAATCGGGGTGTAATTCATGATTTTCGTGTGGTTTGATATGATTTGAGGCCTCGAGCAAGTCCGTAATGTGTTATGGGACTGGTTGGTATGATTGGTTGGGGTCCCGGGGGCTTTGGGTGGATTCCGGGTGGTTAAGGATCGGAAATGGGATTTTTGGAAGGCTGAGGTTTGCTGCTTCTGTCATAACCGCATTTGTGGTTCTAGGACCGCAGATGCGGTCAATTCTCCGCAGAAGCAGATTTTGGTCAAAGGCTCGAGGACCGCAGATGCGGTCAAGGTTCCGAAGAAGCGGGACCGCATCTGCGGGAAGCTGGTCGCAGAAGCGGAAGAGGGCATCTTGGAGAGGACCGCAGATGCGGTCAAAGTTCAGCAGAAGCGGGAACCGCATCTGCGGGAGGCACGTCGTAGAAGCGAAAAAGGGCGGCCTAGGGAGGACCGCAGAACGGTAATTTAACCGCACCTGCGGAACCGCAGAAGCGGTCAAGGGACCGCAGGTGCGCAAATAGCTGGAGGCAGAGGGGTTGTTTTAAAATCGGGATTTTTGCCATTTCTTCTCATATTTTCATGGCTTGGGCGATTTTGGGGAGCTTCAAGAGAGTAATTTCACCATCAATGATAAGGTAAGTTATCCCCACCTATTTTGAGTTAAATACATCATCTATATATGGATTTGAGCATTGAAATTAGTATGAATTTGAGGTTTTGGTGGAAGACCTAGAAAATTAGTAAACTTGGAATTTAGCCACGATAATGAGTATGGAATTTAGTGAAAATTATATATTTGAGTTCCTAAGGTCATGGGTAATCTTTATTTTTGAAATTTTTTGGATTCCGGGCACGTGGGCTCGAGGGCGTTTTGATCAACTTTTCGATCGGAGTTAGGAATTGCTATAAATTAGATTGTAACGAATATTTTAGCATATATTAATGGATTTGCGTAACCGTTGGCTAGTTTTGGAGTGTGGTGCATCAATTAGAGTCTTCGGAAGGGCGTGGAATGCCGGTTATGGATCTTCGGAGCGAGGTGAGTCTCCTTTCTAACCTTGTAAGAGGGAATTGTCCCCATAGGTGAATTAATTGATTATGTGCTCCTATTTGCGGGGGATACGTACGCACGAGGTGACTAGAGTCCGTGCGTAGCTACTATTATGCTATTGTCCGGGTAGTTAGGGCCCAAAAGTATGTTATACTTGGATTATTTATGAACCCATTGATAGCTTGAATCACCTTGGATTAGTAAATGAATTTAAAAGGAGATTAAACATCATTTTTCCTAAATTGTTAAAAAGAGAAATTATTTTATTTGGGTAAATATACCCGATAAGTTCTTAATTGACTGATTGAGCATGTAACTCTATGTGTACCTGCGTCGCATGCATGATTCGCCAGCAGGGTATGTGTTTATTTATGGAACGGGCCGAACGCCTCGGCAGATTAAATAGATGCATCTATAGGCGCGCCATCGACCCTCGGTAAGTGCACAGTTTATTTCTGTTGGATCGGCCCGTCGCCTCGGTGTGATTTGCGCATGTTATATTGTTGCTTGAGAATTTTAAATGTGAAATGTGCCCTTCGTGGCTTGATAAAAATTGATAAGATAATAAAGAGTAAACCTTGAAAATCTTTGATTATTTGTTGAAGGTGTTTACCTGTTTTCTGGCTTCGTGAATTAGGACTGCTATATAAATCCATGATTTCCTCACATTTTTAGTATATTGTCAATTGACCTCTAGTAAGTGTCGAAGTTGACCATCTCGTCTCTACTTCTTCGAGATTAGATGGGATACTCATTGAGTACACGTTGTTTACATACTCATACTACATTTCTGTGCATTTTTGTTGCACAGGTATATTTATCTCTAGCAGCCCACTAGGCATAGCAGCACGGATGATTCGGGAACTAGGTGAGTTGCATTATTCAAGGCGGCCCGCAGCTAGTAAAGTCCCTTCAGTAAATTGTATTTCCTTTCTGTCCACTGTATTCCGGACGGATGTTGTATTGTATTTTATTTCCTTATCAGTAGATGCTCATACACTTGTGACACCGGGTTCTTGGATGGTTTTTAAATATTTTGTATTGATTGCTAGTATTTAATTTGAATTGAAGCAGTTATCTTTTTACTTATGAAATTTAAAGGAAAATCTTGGTTTTTAAAATTGTTAAAATTGGAGTTTAATTAAGTAATTGGTTGGCTTGCCTGACAGCGGTGTCCGGCGCCATCACGGCCCTTAGTGAATTTTTGGGTCATGACACCCTTTAGAAGCCTGATAGAAGTAGAAGCAAAAGGGTAAAAGAAAAGAGTAAAAGAAATAAAGAAAGGGGTAAATAACAGGGACGGGGGGGTACTTAAGAGAATTAACTTAGGAAATCTTATAACTGATTTGGAGGATTCTAAGAAGGGGAAAAAAGGGCTGAGTAGCCAAATAGGTAAAATGTTGGGGTTTTAAGTGAACAAAAACTGAATTGGAGAGGGGTGGAAATGAATTTGAAAAATCAGGTTTTGTTGCCCGAAAAATCTGTTATTAAAAGACTCTTTCTCACTCATTTTGCTAGACCTAGAGATGCACTAAGCCACAGCTGCTGAAAATCCTAGGATTCTAGATCTGAACTCAAAAATTTCAGGAGAAAAGCAACAACAACTGAGGTAAAAGGAGATACAAAAGCTATTTTCGAATTCTAGCATATTCGATTGATTTTTTCTGGAATTTCAAAGGACTTTCAAGCTATTAGAATTGCTGTTTTGCTGGATTAGAATCTGTTGCCTCTGCTTGCTGGATTTGATATCATCTCTTTTTCATTTTTCTTCCTTAACTGATTCTTCTCAAAGCCTTTATTTGGCTGTGTGAGATTGCTGCTTCCTTTAGGTATGTAGATTTGTATTTGCTTTGGTTTTATTTTGAGTTGAAGAAAGAGTTCTGAATTATTTATGTTCTATTTGTGTTTGGTGTCATAAATCTAACATGCCAGTTGTTGAACTTGCCTAAATTTCCTCCCCTGATTAGTTTCTGGTGCTATTAGCTTAAATGCTAATTTAATTAGCTTATTATTAACAATGATTCACCTTTTGAAATGATCATTCATGCCTAACGTGATGGTAACTGTAGTTATTTGCTTCAATGTGTTGTTTGTGCAATTGTTGATATAGCCAATTTGATTTTACAAGGGCAGCCCAGTGGCTATCCCCTTGTAAGTTAGGTGTTTGATTCAAAGGAAGGAGAGCCATGCAACTAAAGTTAGATTCTGTCATGAAATTTCAAACAAGGAAAGCGTAGATTTAAGATTACATTAGTGAAATATGTAACTCATGCCATGATTAGTCGATTGTGTGATTTAAACTGCCATTTTTCTCTGTATTTAATTAAGTTGTAAATTGAGAATTATGTTTGCAATGGTTTATTTTCCTGTAGCTGGGGCTCATTTCAGAAGCCCAAATGTTTTACTTTAATTGAATATAGTTTATCACAAGCATAGGTGAGCCGTTGTCTAAGGCTGTAATTACTTGGACTTTACAGCTGCAAGGCCCAGACTTCAAATGGAAGTCAGAAACTGGAAGATCTCATATGACTGGGCTTCACATGAAAGCCCATTTGGACATTATTCATCCCTGCAGTATTTTACTTATTAACTTAGTGATGAACCTTTTTATATGCAAAGCTTAATGCTTTGGGCTTCACGCTTAGCCCATGTCTGCTCTACCCAGCCTGTTTGAGATCTCACGTAGGTCTTCAATCATACTTGACCCATAGCCCATTCATTGACCGAAGTAATATCAAGCAGATCTAATAGAATAATCATACTCTTGAAACACAATCGCCTGTGCCTTCCCTTTTTAATAGGCTCGAGTCATTTTCTTTTCACTTAACTATCAGATTTCTTTGTGAATTGTACCGGTCGGTTCAAAAAATAAGTTTTAACACCTTGAGATTCATTCATGCTAAGACTCATTGTCTTTTCTTATACTCATAAATCCTTTGATCCTCGACCTCACGCTTAACTTTAAATCTAGAAATCGAATAACTTGAACACCGTAGTTTGCTTTAGGTACGATTAATAATAAATTATCGTGACTATGGGTATGGTTCCCGTGGCATATTCATGATACGTGAACCCTAACTCAAGTGCGCGTTCACGCGATTTGACCACAACTTCAAACAATTAAAACAAACACGTTGTGAATCACGGGTACGTTTCACGTGGCGTGATTTGCGATGTGCACAAAGTACCAAGTACGCGACATCGCAATTTATTCAAATAAGTTCCATAATTGTTTAAAATAATTAAAAGCGGTATAGAATCAGTAACGCATAAAAGGTTTTTAAACATGTAATAATTTAGATAATTAAGCAAAGTATTATTGTTAAGCGACCGTGCTAATATTATGGAACTTGGGAGTGCCTTACACCTTCTCCGGGTTAACCGAATTCATTATCCGGTCTTCTTTGTTCGCAGATCATAAACAGAGTCAATTTCTTCAATTTTGGATTTTAAAATAAACTGGTGACTTGGAACACCATAATAATATTTCAAGTCGTGACTCTAATTAAATAAATAATCTCATTTCGAATAATGTCACTTTATGTGACAGTAGTCGATTGATTAAATAGGTTGAGTGTTGGCAGGCAAACGACCAAAAAATTGAAGTTAAGGATGCCTCATTTAAGAGCGTTTTGGTAGTCCAACAATGTGTCTATGACGACGCTCGTCTATGTCCACTCTTTGCCGTGTATAAGGAGGTGATACAAGGTGTTCAATTCTATTTTTTTTTGGAGATATGGATCAAGACATTAGTATTCGTACCTCCTCCATCAATATAAAGAGAATTAATTTTCTTTTTGAAAAAGTTTTCGATTAAGGGATGCAATTTGGAAAAAATGTCTCGAACCTCATGCTTGTTTTTAATCGTGTACAACCAAATGTATTTGGTGCACTGATCGATGAATAGAAAGAACAGGTGATGAACCCCACAAATCACTAAAAATTATTTGTAGTGTAGAAGTATTGTTTAGAGACAAATCATTGAATAGAAATCATTGAAGTTTATTTGAACGACAAGAATTACATAAAGTAAACTTGTCTGCTGATGAAACTGGCAGAGAAAATTTATTCAAAACAAAGTTCAGGATTCTTAAATGGGAATGACCAAGACGACGATGTCAAACACCACGAGGAACTGTTGTAGTAGTGACTTGAACAATAGGCTTGTTAACAATGATGTTCGGCCATTCATAGACTCCATTCCTATTCCGGCCGGATACCAGCGGAATCCGCATTTTCAAGTCCGTCACAAAGAAAGAAAAAATAAAAAATTCAATCGAGGTTAAATTATCTTGACAAAATTTTGATACAAATTATTAAATGATGATGAGTTGATTGTATACACAAACAAGTTAAAGAGTCCCTCTGAGAAAGCTCCTCCTACAATGCTAACAAACAAGAAAATAAGGAAAATAAAATAACAAACTCCTCAAATGGTGGAAACAAAATAACAACCTATGCAGTAAAACAAAGTAGATACAGTAATGTTGCAAAGCAATAACTGTAACTTCTAAAAAATACAATAATTCAATCATTGCATTAGTTATGCAGAATTTTATAGCAGAGATAAATCAATAATAAGGGGGTTTACGAAGTTACTAGTATTACTTAGGCCAATTACATCGACAGCCCCTTAAAGTTGTCCGTACTTTTTACTTAGACACTCTATCTTATGTCCGTTTCATTTGAACATTTCAACCAAGTCTTTACTGTGTCATTTAGACACAATACGTTGACATAACAAGGTAAGTGTTTCTCACATTTTTCAAGCGCGTGAAATCATTCAAAAAAACAAACTCCACATACTTCTTGTCGAAAAATGTCCAGTTTCTGCCGGAAAATTTTCCGGCCATCTTCTTAGCCCAATTATTTTGGATTTGTTCACACCAATACAATTGTATCCTTCTTTAGATCTGGGCACACCATCACCACTTTTAAATCTGGCCACCATCATAAAGTTATCATTTTTCCCTCATTTTGAAGATCTGGTTGGCCGTTGCAATTCTGGCCGTAAAAGTAGCAGCATCCCTACCTGCCTACCTCATCTTCTCTATTATCTTCCACCATGGGATGGCACGAACATGAACTGTGGCAAGAACACTCTCATTTTCACTTGTCCGGCAAAATTTTATTTTTTTCCGATGAAGTTTCATTTTTTCTCAACAGTTAGATGTGACTTGAATCAGATCCGGCTAGATTCGAGTGGATCTGACCCGAAAAAACAAGTTTTTGGCGACCCTTTTGTGTTGGTGTCTTCTTTTCCTCGTTTTTTCTTTTTATTTTTGTCTACAAGTTATAAATCTAAAAACATATGGTGAAACTCCACTATCTTTTAATCCGGTCGGAATTTTATTTCCGGCAACTTTGTGGTTTCGTCGGATTTTAGTTTTTCTGAGAACATTCATGCTTATGTTCATTGATTTTTATGATTGAGTCACATCTTTGGTACATTTAGATTGGGTTTGATTTCAATATTCTCAACTGTTGCATTATATTTTGTTTGTTTGCAAATGATTTTATTGGTCGTTTGCTGCTGCATTTTGAAGGGAAAAAAATAGCCAGGGGTCATTGGGGAAGATGACAGACGGGTGGGGTTAAGGTAAAATACACGTGTCTTTGTCTTATTCGTCAATCTGGTGTCCGCTCTAGAGCTGAAGTTTTTGTGTTGTAATTGGCTACTTTTAACTCCCTCTCTGTAATGCACATAACAAACATGATACTCATCTTCACTTTATGTTACCTTTAAGCTTTATTAGTCTGCAACAGAACTAGACACTTAAGATATGGATTGCATCGCTAACAAAAAATTAACCAGAGCTATAGCCAGTTATAGCAACTGAATCAGGATGGTTATCTACTATAGCAGTAAGTTCTTGCATAGCTAGCAAAACCAAAACACATGGACTGTTAACAACAGAAGCATATGGACAGCAGCAGAAATGATCGAAAGCTCAAGAAATAAAGTGTGGTCACAGCTTCATTTAAAGCTAGTGGAATATAGTTAGCAGGTATTTAAATAACAAAATATACGGATAGCAGCAGAAATCATCAAAACTACAAGAAATATAGTGTGGTCTCCGCTTCATACAAAGCTAGTGGAGTAAGTAACATGAGCAGACTGAAGTTTTCGACGCAAGACCAATAAATAAAAATAGGCTCTGCATTTTGTCTTTTGTTAAGAAGAAGAAAACGAAGGAGGAGAAGGAGGAGAAAGGGAGCTGAAGTTATTTAAGAAGTGGGTACAAGTTAAAAGTTTTTTAAAAAATGGGTATAGGTTAAATGGGGACGACCAAATAGGGCGCCCCGTGCAATTTTTACAATGAACTGTTTGGAAAAGTATCCAATATATATTTGGTTGATTTAAAACATGAGATTTTTACATTCCTATGCCACATAGGAAACCTTATTACCCTCAATGTTTAAGGTTTGACTTAATTACACTTAGTATACCAAATTATCAATTCTATACCATAATTAATTAAGGGTATAATTAATTGTACATTTTTTACTCCTTAATTAAAGAAATCTGCACGTTTCTCTCTCCTAACCCCTCAGTCCCACCTACTTTTTACCCATACCCACGTTTTTTTTACCATTTTCCATCTTCTGAAACCAAATTCTCCCTCTAAATTCACAAAAAATTGAAGAAACCCTTCAACAACGTTGGTTCCCCATTTTACTCCAGTTGAAGTTCATCAATGAAGAACAACAAAGTTCATCAAAATTGAAGTCAAATCTTCAAAGTTCATACACACATTTACCTTCAGCTTCAAATTTTCTCAATGAAGAAGAACAAACCTTCAAAGAGACAAGAGAGCAGCAATTCCACCATTGACAGCCATTAAAAAGCTTTGAAGCTTTGAATTCAAATTTGGATTTTCAAAAATTATTTATTTGTTTTGATTGGGTGTTGTTGAAAATAATTGGGAATATGTTTTGGAGTTTATATCTCAATTTTGAGGGGTTTTGGTGAAGATTAGGCTTGGTTTTGACTGAAATTCAGATTGAAACTCGAAGAAGAAGAAGAAGAAGACATATTGCAGAAATTGTAGATAAATTGTAGACTGTTTTTTGCAGAAGATTTTGTAGAAGTTTTAGTCGTTTTGGATTTGTGAAAACAGAAAACAATGCATCTACAATCAGAATACAAATAATCTAAAATTTATCTACAAAATACCTACAAACTGGATACATTGAATTTTAATATCCCAATTTCTATTTCAATTGTAGCATAATTGGCATTTTCGACATAATTGCATTTTTTTCAGAAGATTTGTAGAAGTTTTAGTCGTTTTTGATTTGTGAAAACAGAAAAAAAAGCACCTACAATTAGAATACAAATAATCTACAATTTATCTATAAATATCTACAAACTGGGTACATTGAATTTTTATATCCCAATTCCCATCCAATTGTAGCATAATTGTGATTTTTTACATAATTACGTTTTTTCAGAAGATTTGTAAAAGTTTTAGCCGTTTTTTATTTGTGAAAACAGAAAATAAAGCATCTACAATCAGAATACAAATAATCTACAACTTATCTACAATTTATCTACAATTTATGCAATATGTCTTCTTCTTCTTCTTCTTCTTC